TTTCAAGATCTCTAAGTTTTGCAAAGTATAAGGATCCTTCCAAGTTCCAAGGTTTTAGATCAAGTGCCTTGGAATCTTGCATTAGTCTCCAAAGCTGTGGTATTTAGAGTCTTTATCCCCGAGATATTTTGAAACCTTCAAGATCTTCAAAATCCATAGTCTGCAATGGCTCTAGAATAATTGATCAAGACGCCAATATCTTTTGCATCTTCTGATCTTCGCTCAGTAAAGTACGTCTTTCAAAATATTTAATAAGGGAGTCTTCAGAAACTTCAAAATCACCAGAGTTTTCAGTCATGAGCCTCAAGACTCTTCAAGATCTCTAAGGTGTTAAAAGTATAAGGATTCTTCCAAGTTCCAAGGCTTTAGATCAAGTGCCTTAAAATCCGGCATTGGTCTCCAAAGCTATGGTCTTTAGAGTCTTTATCCCCAAGACATTCCGAAATCTCCACTTTCTTGGTCCTAAAAACTCACCGTAATAATATTTTCATTTCTCGGTTTTTCAACAATCTGTCAAGTTTCATTGTCAATCAGTGCTTTTAATTCATCATTCACTGCTTTTCCCCACATATTCCACTCCGAACTTTGAATAGCTTCTTTGTATGACCTGGGGACTTCAGAAAATTCACACAATAACCAAAATCGACTTCTTTTCCCTCTATCTACTTCAATCTGTTCTTCTTCTATTTCTCGCTCTGTTTTCTCTTCTTCAGTATTTTTGTCCCGTTCGTAAACCTCAAAATCATTTTTATCATCTTCAATTTCATCATTAGCTTTACTAAGCTTCTTTTCGTCTCTCCTCATCAAATACAACATTTCTGCTATATACAATTTTATTTTCTTCGCTGTTCCACAACCTGTAACCATTTTCTGTATAGCCCACAAACCTACATCTCAATCTGAAGTACCATACTCATTGTTTGAGCATAAAACAGATTCTAATTTATCGGTCATACCTTTTGCAGTGGTAATATCCTTGATATACTCTAAATGGGAGTCTGACACACATTGTACAACAATATTTCTTGCTTTATTGGCCTTTTTGATCCATGCCTCATTTACGGTTGTCAAAACTGGTTCCAAAACACTGCTAACCACCGTCGCTACTAAAACAGACTCCAACCTGAATTTCCAGTTGTCGAAGTTGCTTGCTTTGAAAGGAACAATTCCTCGAACAATTCTATATTTATTTTCGCAGCTATCGGACTCATGCTTATTCATTTTGATTCTAATCAAAAGCACAACTTTTTACAACCGATCTGTCGGTAGTACAGCCAAGGAGCCTACACGAGCCTTTTTTACTTTCTTTCCAACCTCACTTTTTGTTTTTCTTGAATTTCCTCAACACTGCGCTGCATCTGGGCCCATAACCAATGTTGAAATAATCAGATCAGCCAGTAATTTGTGTTTAACATTTATTCACAATAAATAGACACATTTGTTATTACAAGAATACAAATTTTAAATAAAAGATTAATTTTTCGTGTTGTTCTACAAAATCAATTCAACTAGGCAGTTCGAATCAGCTGATAATTCAAGATGGCCATGCGGCACAAATGTAAACAAACCATTGAGGTTAGACATGCCACAGATATAAATGTGTGTTATTTCACTTATTTCTACCTGTTTCAGAATTTAATTTGATGAATTTTAATTTATATATTCATCTATTAATTAAATACCTGGACATCAGGTACAAAACGAACCCCAAGAAGCTGTGCCCCAAGTAGGTAGAAAGGCCTAAATATAAGTTCCATCAAGGTGATTTTCTTCACCTCCGATCAGTTGTTCGTGTGCTTCAGAACTGTAAGCAGTCTGAAACATAATTCATAAATATTTTTTGATTTTTGATAAAACGCAGAATGCTTATCTACAAAAGTTATTGCTGGAATCTCCTGATGTTGGGAAGAGCTAAAAGTTTGTAGTTAACTTGTATTAAAAAATAATGGGCATATGAAACATGTCTTGCCAATGTTTGGCATTTTTGACAAATATAAATTGTGCCAGAGGCAAATGAATGTCAAAAACATAAATTACATGAACCACAACAACGCCAAAAATAAAAATTTCGTTCAAAAAACGTCCTCGTTCTCAAACTGCTAAAAACACTTTAGAAATTCACAGAAAAATGAAAATAAACAGGGTTAAGGTGAGGTTAAGCTTTGTAAACAGTCTCTTATGGACGTCAAGGTTAAGTTTGTTATGCCGCAACGCCATCTTGAATGTCAAACATCAAACTGCCCTACTGACAATTACAACTGTCAGCTGTCAACATGACAACAACATGACGTCAAAATATTAGGGATGGTGCACAAAACCGAAAACGCTATTCAGGCAAGGTTCCTAACAGCAGCATACAACTCCAATTCCTAGATGTTGCTCACTTTAATTACTTGATAGGGGCTTCACCTTGAAGCTTTTTGCTTTTGTCAACAGTTAGAAACTATGGAGTTATTTTGATGAGAAGATTTTTTTTACTCTTCGTGTAGGTAAATAAAAATGCATCTAGAACATTGGGTTTCACACTAGGAAACTGCAAACATTTTGATGTATGTACTGCTTTATTGTGATTAGAGTATCGCCTTGAATACTGACTGAAAGATTTCTGTCGAAAATAATAATAGCTATTATTAAACTAGAGGGCACCCTTTTCATATAAATGTGAAGTACCAGTTTGGTACCAACACTTTCCGTTGGCTATTTTTTTGAAGGGAAGCTCTGCTTGTTCAGCTTATCTTATCCTTCGTCTCTCTTAAATTTTGATTTTCGACCTAGAAGGTTGAGCTTGGCTTGGGGGCAGCCATCTTCCTAAGTGAATTATCGATTACCGTTTTTGTGGAAAAAAAGTACCTTATCGGCCATCAGGCCCTATATTTACGAAATGAAGTTGCGTAAGGTAATAATCCAATGATTGCCAAAAAAAATTTAATCAAAAGTTCCGTGATTCCTGTTTCATTCAAGTTCTGAATTTCGAACCCCTTCGTGGTTTTTCCGAGGAGCCGTTTCTTTCGAAGAGCTCTTCTCTTCCGACGAAACTGTTTCCAACAATGGCATAGAGTTTTTGAAAGGATTTCCTAGATGAATCAAGTCTGTTGACACCTGTACCTCCACATTCGCCAAAAACTGTGATTTTCTAGCCTCTATTTACCTTGATTCAAGGCTAGAATCCGCAACTTCCCTCGTCAAGTAACAAAAAAATGAATGGCTACCGTACTCTACTTTTTTTGTCGGAATTAAGACTTATATAGAGTTTCATATTTTATAATTTTTATTACTTTTTTTTATGAAATCTACTTTATGATCAATTAACAAAATTAATTGTTTTTTTTTTTTGGATATGACATTACATTTGAATATTTAAAATTTCAATTTCACATTCTTAACACCGAAGTGACCTTTTATCTTTATCTAACTTTTAATATTGCCATGTTTTAGGATTGTAAATTTTATTATTCATAATCAATAATCTAAACTGGAGACAAGGTTGGACAACATGTTCTAAATTTCAAATTATTGAGTAAGTACCTACCTACATTGTCGATAATTGATCAATTTTTAACCTGGGTCCTATAACTTATATATTTGAGGATTTCTATTATATCTCTTGACCATTTAACCTAACCTTTGATTTCATACGGGTTATTTTTCTGAATTTATTCTTTAAGCAGAAGCTGACCATATTTATCAATACAATATTACGACTCATTAATTTTTTTTAATTAAATTTTTGAGTTGTATGCCTTATTTTTTGCCTTTTCGGAATTATTAATTACCGTTTGTTAACTATTTTTTTTTTAGGTGTGTCTCTGAATTTTCACACTTCAATATTTTATGTAATTTATTTATTTATTTATTTTCAAATTCAGTGGTGCCCTTGCCATTCTGTACTTATTAAACTATTGACCCACCCCTGATAATTATTCGCTGAGTAAACTGAGCATATTATAGGCCTCCTGTTAATTTGTTAACAAAAGGGGTTACACTATTCCTCTGTGAGATCAGGCTGGATTATTGTTCACTTGAGTACTCTTCTATGTTATGGTCGCTTAGTGTTCAGTGAAGTATTTCCTGTAGAACCTGGGTCCTGTAGTGTAGAAACTATTGTTCAAGAAGGAAAGTACCTATCCTATGTAAGTCTGGAGAGTCGCCTTCATCTGTACGTCAAAAATATCAACATAGATTTTTCCAGTATATGACACTCGAATCTTTTGGTATAGTCATGTTCAATGTCCAGCCGAAATCAAATCCAGTGTATACACTATCGTCAACGTCATGTCATCTTTAGATCCAAATTTCGCTGATTGTACTGTTCTTAAACTGATAGGGGCTTACGTACATCGGCAAAGATCATTTTCAGGCTCATTAATTAGGTCTGTCTCAAAATTTCAAATGTGCGGATATTGAAATGTATTGTCGATTGTCGCAATTTGTACGGTTGTGTTATGTATCATGGAGTTGTATTTTCAACCTTTTAACTTTAACTGTTAAATAAAGTGCATTGATCAAAACCTGAATAAAAGGTTGAAACGTCGGCGAATTTGTAAATTTGTTTTATTCCACTTCGTCCTTAATTCACTTCTTATCTCTATAAAAGGCATAAAAGCTCATCGATGCTTTATCCATCCATTATTTTGCGATATATAAGATCAATTTACAGGGAACTTAACTTGTCAACTTCTAAAAAAGTCTACTTTACCCTTTTCGAATGACATCTTCAATACCTTTCTATTCTGGGGTACGTGCTGTGCGTCTCAATTCAAGCTTATCTTTGACTTTTTTATAAATAGGTATAATTTTGAGCATTCTACACACTGGATCCTTGTTAATAGTTATTTTCTTAAATTTCTGTATACTTTGAAGTATATGTTGTAATCTTATCATAAATTATTATTTTTGTTGGTTTTGACTTCGTGTACAAGTAGATGTAGGTATATGTTATATTAAAAATCACCTAAAACTCACTGGCATTATTAATGTATTCTGTTTTTTTTTTGTTTCAGTCACCGAAAAGGAGATAAGACAATGGTGAGTACCTACCTATACGATCATTAATTGTAAAATGTATATATGTACATTTTTCTAAAAAATTGAAAATTGTGATGGCCTAAACCTAAACTGCTAAATTTCCCAATAAATATAAATCAATTTGCCTCGCACACAGACACTGATCGTGGCCGATCATATACAGATAAAATTTACGCTTTACTGCGCCAGACACTATATGTATGGAAACCAATTTTTTTTCCAAAATTTTCCATTTATAAAATGCAGAGCGATAAATCATTTGCTACTGGAAAGTTCACAAACGTGCATTGTTTTATAATAGCAATCGATAACGTTTTGCGTATCGTCTGCTCGAAAAAATAATTACGCGCCATTTAGACCGTGAAAGAACGGATGGATTCACCTTTAAAGCTGCGATAACGAGACTTCAGGATGAAACCTGCCACTCGAAATAAATGCAGTTTTATGTCTGTCTGTGTCGAGGATGTATATTATTATTGCAAAAACATGGAGCTACATTCATTATCATTTTATATGAGTCTTTTGTTTCAGGCACAAAGGTTTCCTAAAGGATTGTCCCAACGGGTTGCTAACAGAACAGGTGAGTAAAAGTAGTAGGAGGAAACTCACTTGGGTATTAAAAGTTTTTCAACAATCGGGTTTGGTTATGTGAATTTATGCGGTTTGGACCGTAAAGTTATTAAAACGTAGAAGGAAAAATATTCAGAATTGGGACACACTGGAAATTATAGGAGTGAAACTTTTTCGAGAAGGTAAAAATAAAACAAAGGTACGACAGTTGGATAAAGCTAGTTTTTACCAAATATTTCACATAAAATCCAAACGGACGAAATAAAACTCGAAGAACTCAATGACTTCTTGCTTTATCCCGGTTACTCTATGTTTAATCAACATAAAATTTGAATTACATATTTCGATATTTCAACATAAAATTTAATTAAGTCTGAAATTTCTACATATTATAAAATCCACAATTTGTTATAAATTTGGCAAGGTAATCAAAGTATCACAAACCTTGCCCAAATTTACTAAAAAACCACGATTCATCATTCACGGCGTCAGTCACCTTAATTTCCGTAATGATACAGTGTAGCGCCAATGTTTTAGATACCTGCCTAAACAAGGTCAACACACAGTTCATTGTTATTAGTTATGATAAATATAGTAATGGCGTTTCCGATTGGTAGATCTAGTGCAGAACTAGTGCAATTTTTTCTATTTCTGTCTTTTTCTTCTACGGGTCGATTAAAAGGATGCAAATACACTCAGTGCGCACTGAATCTACCAATCGGAAACGCCATAAGATTCAAGTTAAAATGTGCAATATAAATAGGAACCAATTTAATTAATATAAAACCAGTATTGAACAATATTACTTGGGTACTCATTTAATTACGCAAATTAGTCATTTGTGATAATTATCCACAAAGTCCTTCTCAAGAGCTTTGTACTCGTTATCTTGGTTAAAGGTAACTAGTGATCCTTAGGGAATTATTCCTGAACGCCACGCCCAGAGATACGGACCTTGGAGGCCTTACAACCCTCTATAGTGAACTACAACAAAGGTCCCAACTCTGTTCATTCTAGATTTGGCTAAAATACGTCGTAGAAGATACTGATTGAAAGGATAATGCTATCAATATTGATAAGTCACACACAGTGAACTGGATCCTTGAAAACTTTTCCTCCACTGTTCCATTCTCTTTGCCTAAGATCGGTAAGCTCTGACGAATCTAAATAAATAGAATTTCTCTTTCCTCCAATACTGTCGTCAAGATATTTCCAAAGTCCCCTGCTTTCTTTATCAATATCAGGGATTTTTGCGGTAAACGTAGGAAATGTGACGACTTACCTTTTCTCCATTGTTTTGCCTTGTTTCCTCGCTTCTATTTGCAATGTTGTTGTTTCTTGATCAAATTGTACCTATACATGCTCCACCAGGTGAAGAATTTTTTTGTATTATTGAATTTTCAGTGACATACTCCCGAGCATCTAAGCATCTAATTTTTCCTATTGAAAAATCTAGAAAACACGTTTAAAAGCAATTTGTTTAACAAAAAGTAGACAGATGATAAAAACCCTCGTCCATCGAGTCAGCAACAAATGCTGACCATAGATTATGGGCGGTCTTTTATTCTGATAAAATGTCGTTACATTTGTCAATGAGAAATGCCATATTGTCGACTGTTTAAGCTTCTTTCGCATGCATTGTCATCGGTCATTTCATTCATAGGATTTTGTATTACAAATGAACAAATGTATAGAAGTGACTGTTGCTCTTCTTATTTTAACATTTTCATCTATGGATGGGAAATATTTAGAACACTATTTGTAACGTTTGTCAAGACATACCTGGTACTATGACTGAAACTATCTAGGCACACACAATAGAGAAACCTTTGTTCACTTTAAAGGTCAATTCTCACTTCGCTTCACTCAGCTCAGCGACGCGACACGACGCCGCGCTGCAAATTGTCGCTAAAATCTGTTTTTTTTTTTAAAGATAAAAGTCAAAATGACATTATGTTGGCAATACAATGTAAAATTGTCAATGCTTTCAAATTTTTTATGTAGAAAAGGCTTGTGTTGCCAACATAGTTACTAGATTTTTGACTTGGGGAATTATCTTTAAAAAAAAAACAGACTTAAGATAAATATTTCATTGGTTAAAATGAATAGATTCCCACCTACATTGCACTACACTTCACGGCGCGTCGCATTTAAACCAATGAAATGTAAAATAAAAAAAAGATGAAAAATGTCTGTACGGTGTCTACGAATTTTTAGTGGAGTGGGTAAATTCCCTTTTCACGCCGATCGTGTTGTAGCAACATACTTTTCATCTTTGTTAATACTTCTTATATCTACTGTATCTTCGGGGTGATTTTCTTGAACAATCCGATGAACTTCAAGATGTTTTTCTCTAGGAAGCTGCTCGTTTTCCTTTGGAGGAGACATAATTTTGTTCCATTTCAATGGGACATATACGTTGGATAAATCCAACAGAGGATCCAACTAATTTTCCAGAAACGGTCTTCAATTCCACTAAACGTATATTTCTATCTTTACCTCGTATCATATTCTCAATGTGACTCAAAATCCAGTCGATTCGTTTCTGGCTTTCAGCACCACCACGAAGACAATATCTCTAACTTTTACCTGGAGACTATACTTATTCTTTTTTGCGAACAGTGTGAGCTGACCCAAATATTCATTTCGAACCCTGGCTTTGAATACTTCTTCAGGTACTTATATATTTTTTTTCTTAAATCTTTTGCTTCTATATATCAGGAACATCAATATGCTGGGATATCTCTTTCAAAAATATGGAGTTAACGATATCAAATCAGTAGTATCTTCTGAAACAAAAGTGAGCGGTCTAGAGTTTATAACAGACTCACATTCGAATAAAATGGTACTCAGCAGAAAGATGAGATTTTCCCAGGACCTTTCTTAGAATATCTTATATCTTCGACCGCCCCACCAAACTGCAGTTGGCAGAGTAAGATTGAACTTCCATTTGATTTTGTCAATAATCTGCAATAGTGAAAGTATAAAACGAACATTTTACAATCAAACATTGAGAAACAATTGGGCCAAAATTATGAGGTAGATGAACCTGAAAAGAAAAATTCAAGGATTAAAGTGTTGAATGTACAGGGGTTTTTTTCATATTTTGACCCATACCTACAGCTTTAGCTATACGAGGTGGAAAAAAACTTTAAATATGAAAGTTGTACGCTTTCATCTAAAACAAACAAATTTAAATCGCAAAATTATAATTATATACCAAATCATTTTTTTTTTAATGGAACACCCTGTATATTTTTAGCTCTAATGAAGTCTTTTTTCTCCTGTTTCCAATAATATAACATATGTTGATATTTGGTTCAGCTGTGTACTGAGTTCCATTTAAAAAAAAAAATGATTTGGTCTTTTATTATAATTTTGCGATTAGAATTTGTTTGTTATAGAAACGCCAAAATATATTACCGATTATTCCACTCATGTGTTAGAAATCCCATAAGATAAGTGACGATTTTCAGAATTACAGCGAAAATTCTCTTTTCCATTTGTTTAACTAGAGAGAATTACAGCGATAATTCTCCCATGTTATTGTATACATAGTTGTCATCCTAATTTTTGATACAAACAAACGGTTCCTGATAGCAACCATTTATTTGTATTGATTGTTAAGATGTTCAAATCGTTCAATACATATCTATATTTCCATATTTTTTGCATTCTCATACGTGAAATAATCCTGTAAATGCCACTTGAGCTTTAAAATAAACCAGATAATTTTTCACTCATGCGTGTTTTCTCTTCAAATTTCACTCGTCCTACGGACTCGTGAAATTATAGAAAACACGCAATCGTGAAAAATTATCGGTAATTTTGAAGCTCTCGTGGTATTATCCCCGATTATTCCACTCATGTGTTAGAAATCCCATAAGACAAGTGACGATTTTCAGAATTACAGCGAAAATTCTCTTTTCCATTTGTTTAACTAGAGAGAATTACAGCGAAAATTCTCCCATGTTATTGTATACATGGTTGTCATACTAATTTTTGATACAAACAAACGGTTCCTGATAGCAACCATTTATTTGTATTGATTGTTAAGATGTTTAAATCGTTTAATACATATTTATTTCCATATTTTTTTGCATTCTCATACGTGAAATAATCCTCTAAATACCACTTGAGCTTTAAAATGAACCAGATAATTTTTCACTCATGCGTGTTTTCTCTGCAAATTTCACTCGTTCTACGGACTCGTGAAATTATAGAAAACACGCAATCGTGAAAAATTATCGGTAATTTTGAAGCTCTCGTGGTATTATCCCCGATAAAACCGTACAACTTTCATATTTAAAAAAAATTCCATATCGTATAGCTAAAGCTGTAGGTAGAAGTCAAAATATGAGGAAGCACCCTGTACAGAAAAACATAGCAGAAAATAAAGAAATTTTGATAGAAAAAGTAATAAAACAAAACATAATAATGACGGAAGACAGTGAATTAACATTCAAATATCAAACCAAAGAAGGAAAGACAAGTAAAGTCCTTGAAATCGACTCCTCTACATATACACAATAGACCTCTTGCACTCAATCAAAATTAGGTATATAATTTATCTGTAACGAAAGTGTATTTTATGTACTACATAACAGTATGGTTGATTAATTTTTTTTAAAAGCTTGAAGCCAGAAATTGAAAGAAAAATAGTATATTGTTATATTAGGAGTAGAAGCTTTACTTTTTTGTGCTGAAGCAGTAGGTTTGCGAGCCGAACGTAGTGAGGCTTGCAATACTGCTGAAGCACAAAAAAGTGCTTCTACTACTGCTATTTTTTCTCCAAACGAATGGGTAAGCTCGGGCGCAACTGAATGGTCAAGCGGCAGTAAAAGTACGAGCGGCACTAAAAGTACTTTTGCTGCCGCTCCAGCGGCACTAAAAATACTTCTACTGCCGCTGCGGTTGCCTAGCAGCATAGAAATTAAATTTCTACCACCTCGACAGGTGTTAACCCGCTGGATTTGCCTACCAGCATAGAAATTAAATTTCTAACATCTT